TAAATAATATATAGCAGAAGAGCCCAGAGGTTTTGTTAATTGTGACACAGGCTGTATAATGCATTTAAATCACAACTATTTTTAAAGCAACCAAGAGAAAAATAGGGCATCCCTTTTTTACACAACATGCCCTCATCGATGAAAAGCAGGCTTCTGACATAGCTCATCAAGAGCTGGACTTAAGAGAGGAATGGCCGTGAGCTGTAGCTCATACAGAGTTGTTAGAAGGAATTTTCTTTTCTTGCAGTCTGACCCTCATGCCTTTAGTGAGAAGTACAGGTTGGTGATGCTGATCAGCCTAAGGGGTAGCAGTTATTTGTGGACAAGATTGTCTTATATTTAAAGGAGGGGGGGACCTCCAGCTGAAATCCTTTGGAAATCAGAGTGTGTACCTACCTGCCTTTTAAAAGAGCTGCTCCTTTTCTTCCTTCTTAATTGTAGCATTAAAGCATTTCATTCTATGTTGCCTTGCAGCCGAGAAAACAACTAATTCTGTCGCTGTCTATTTTCTATCCCCGCTGAGAAACAAGGTAGTAGCTCCCTCGTAGGTCAGGGTGGGCAACTTTCAGACTCCCGTGGATTCGGTGGACTGCTGCTCCAGTCAGTGCCAGCCACAATGAGCACACGGTGGAGACAGATGGCAGCTTAATCCAACGACACCTAAAGGGCTGCAAGTTGCCCACCTCTGTCATAAGAGATGGTGCTTTGTAAAACAGACACTCTGCCCAGAAGGATGGGAGAAGGTGATCATATTCAAATGGCCTGCATGCTATCATGCTGGCCATTCCAGGGGGATACCAGTATGTAGCCAGCAGTCGTATTAACCCTGAACTATCATTGGCACATACAGGAAGAGAACCATATCAAGCACTCACTTTTGCAGATGACCAGCAATAAAATGTCAGTGTGTGAAATCTCATTGGTTCCTCTTTCTTTTCTCATTCTTTTTTTTTCTCTTTAGTTCTCCACTTATTTCCCTGGATACTTTGATGGTCAGTACTGGCTGTGGTGGGTGTTCCTTGTATTAGGTAAGTGTGTTAAAAGTGAATTTCAGATTTTCACCTTAGTATCATGAATATATTGAATTATCTTTGGAATGGGGGGAATTTAGTGTTTGATACTGTAGAAGGATTGTAATGTGTTTTGAATATTGTTTCAGAAACAAACTTCTGGGCCGTTGTATCCTAGGCTTATAATCTGAGACTAGTTTAAGAAGGGGGCAGCTGTTTGTTTTTTGGGTGTGTTTTAGTATATTTTGTTCACTGCAAAAGAATCTTGCCATCTAGTGGATGTTTCATTGTTTGCAAGTGGAACAATAACTTGTTTAACTATGGTACTGTATAGTCTTGAGTTTAAGAATTAAGGATTCCCACTTAGTTTATTTTTATTTTTACTTCAGAGTAGCTGTCCAAAGGCTACTAATTCATCAGTTAAATTGGGCCGAGGAGTGTTTATATTTTCATGAGAGCTTGGAAATAATAAGTTACAAGTCCTGCAGCTGTCCTTAACTAGTTACTTTTCAGATAATTTGGATGTATGAAGTGTTATTCCAAAAATAAAATAATGAGGAAGATTAAAGCTACTTTGTTGAATACAATGGTAATGTTTTTAGTTACTTTCAGAAGTTACTTTTAAAGGGTATTTAAAGGCAGTTCTGGAGGCATTTGGGCAGAATTACTCAAGTTTGATATCCCCCTTTTATAAATCCTATTTTCTGCCTCCAAAAATCCAATAATAATA